AGCTTGCTCCGCCCAACAGTTTTCTATTGTCCGGCGGCTCTGCTGCCGTCAAAAAAAAAGAAAAAGAAAACTCTCCCGGGCGCTCTGGGACTCTCCCGGCCGCCCAGGAGAAAAACACTGCTTTTTTAGCCAATAGTAAACTAGCATTGTACCCGCCCTCTGCTGATGGACCTGATGGAGAACTGCAGCAGAGGGTGGGTACAATGCTAGTTTATTATTGGCTATTGCAAATTGAAATAGCCAATAGGAATTTAGCAATGCATTCCTATGGGCAAAATTATTTTTATTTTTTTCTATTCTGACACGGAGCCGAATAAAAAAGAACGGAGCAGAATAAAAAAGAAAGGAAAAAGTTTTCTATTTCAAAAGGGAAATGTCAGGGTCTGTTTAGACCCCTAATATTTCCCCGAAGCTCCCCCAACATTAAAATAATAATAAAAATAAATAAAAAATGGGTAAATAATAAAAAAAAGCACAACCCCCCCTCCCCCACACATGCATAACATACACGTGCACCATATTGTGGTGTACGCCAGGCACATGCGATGCAGTGCGTTGTTAGAACGCATCGCAGTGCATGATTTTTTTCTTTTGCAAAAAAACATTTTGTGACGCCATGCTGTGCGTTGTGACACCTTGTGTTGTAAATTAAATATACGCCTGTATCATTTTATCACAACGCAAAAACCATTTATAACATAAATCGCTTATTTACAGTTTAGCGTTCCTTCATTTTTTTATAATCCCCCTTTCCTCAGCCTCTCATTGGTGTGGCAGTATTAAAGTAAAGTGTTAGGCATCATTCAGGCGCCATTCACACCAGGGTGGAAGCGTTTCACCGTGGTTTCTGCACAATTTTTGAAAGAGCATTTTTGGCTGTTTTTAGTCGCGTTTCAGTGCTGAAACGCAATTAAAAACGCTCAAAAACGTGCTGATCAGTGCATTTCTATTAAAATGGGGGTTTCGTTTTGGGGGGGGGGGGGCCTTACAAAGTTTTGCTATGGGGCCCTGGGATTTCTTTTTACGCCCCTGGTTGGTGGCATCAGTTTCTAGGCTTTTTTGTCTTTCACTTATTGTGCTTTTACATACACACGTGTTAACATGAGTTTACTGCATCGGTTTTTGTAATTTTACATACACAAATTGACATTTATTTATGTGAAACCACTTGACCAAACATGCACGCAGATAAAATGAATTGCACATAAAAGCATGATATGATGTATTCATCCTGGTGACCGGCAGATAGTGATGAGAAAATCAACATTTTATGCTTGTCACTGGAACAGGAGATGAGGGGAAAACTTTAAATGGGGACAGGAAGTGACAGGCCACAAACACAATAAATACTGACAGGTGTTTAACCATTCTCTTCTCTATCCAAAACGAAAAATGGTATTGAATTTAGATTCAGTTTAATTATACACCATACTAATACAAATATGTGATTTTACTGTAAATATGATCATACTATTAATTATGACTCAATTATTTATTAACATAACCTGTATAATAATAATAAATATAGTATAGGTAGTTGGAGAATGAAATATTTGTAATGGGTTAAGGACAAATAGGAATTCCTGTATTAACTATAAAGAGTATAACTGAGAATTCATATTCAAGAAAAAGAAGGCACTTAGAGTGTGGAAACCCAATATGGCCGCAATGCTACCTCCACGGACTCCTTATATAGTTACATAGTTACATAGTATTTGAGGTTGAATAAAGACATTAGTCCATCAAGTCCAACCTATTAGGATCTCATTCTAGGAGTACCTGTACCCCTGTATATTACGTTCCCTTAAGAAATCGTCCAAAAGTTTCTTGAACAATTCCACATTCTTTGCTGAAATCACTGTCTGTGGCAGTGAGTTCCAGACCCTAACTGATCTTACTGTGAAGAACCCCCTTCGCCCCTTGTGCTGGAATTTTTTTTCCACCAATTTTAGGTGGTGGCCTCTAGTTTTTGTAATGGAGTTAATTTTAAATAGTTTATCGCTAATGTTGCTGCCACCATTGAACATTTTGTACATGGAGATCATATCCCCCCTCAATCTCCTCACCTCCAATGTGAACATGTTTAAATTTAGTAGCCTTGTCTCGTAGCTCTGGTCCTCCATACCCCTAATTAGTTTGGTTGCCCTCCGCTGGACTTTTTCCAACTCAAGGACATCTTTTCTTAGTACTGGTGACCAGAACTGGACCGCGTACTCCAGATGAGGTCGAACCAATGATCTATAAAGTGGCAAAATTATAGACTTGTCCCTGCAATACATCCCCTTTTTAATACAGGACAAGACCCTGCTAGCTTTGTTTACAGCAGCCTGGCACTGCAAACTACCTTTCAGTTTGTGGTCTACAATGACCCCCAAATCCTTCTCCATTTCTGACTTCCCCAGCGGCATACCCATAATTGTATAACCCATTTGTTTATTTTTAATTCCAAAGTGCATTACTTTGCATTTATCGACATTAAACCTCATCTGCCACATTAATGCCCACTCCCCTATTTTATCCAGGTCCTCCTGTAATGTTATAGTGTCTAAGTCCGTGTCTATTACCCTCCCTATTTTGGTGTCATCCGCAAACACGGAAATATCGCTGTTAACACCCTCCCCGATGTCATTAATAAATAAGTTGAACAATATGGGACCCAGCACAGAACCCTGAGGCACACCGCTCATTACACTAGCCCAGTCTGAAAAGGTGCCATTTACAGATACCCTCTGGACACGTTCCCGTAGCCAGTTCTCTATCCACGTACACACCACCTCATCTATGCCCATAGCCCTCAGCTTGTGTAGCAAGCGTTTGTGTGGTACCGTATCAAAAGCCTTTGAGAAATCCAGATATACCACATCTACCGGCCTCCCTCCATCCATATCTCTACTCACCCCCTCATAAAAAGTTAGCAAGTTAGTTAGGCAGGAACGGTCTTTCCTGAACCCATGCTGATTGTCATTAACTATCCCGTTTTTCTGAACAAATTCTACCAGATAATCCTTTATTATGCCCTCTAGCATTTTACAAACTACCGATGTTAGACTGACCGGCCTATAGTTCCCAGGTTGGCACCTAGCCCCCTTTTTGAATATTGGGACTACCGTAGCCCTCCGCCAATCACCGGGGATCCTACCAGTCATTAAGGAGTCCTTAAAAATGAGGATTAATGGTCTAGTTATAACCTGGCTTAATTCCTTAAGTACCTTGGGGTGCAGGTTATCCGGACCCACTGCTTTGTTTGCATTGAGCATTTTAAGTCTTTGTTGTATTCTGGTTTCCGTCAACCACTGGGGTATATTTTGACCATATAAATAGTCAGAATAAAAAAATAGCCCTCAAAAATTTTCCTTGCTTGAAATATGTGCACTCAGGGAATCCATACCTGAAATGTATGCACATATTGGGAATCCTTGCTTGAAATGTGTGCACATATGAAGGACTAGGTGATGAACGCATGAAATAACAAAAATTAATTCTGCACTAATCCATTACTACCATTTTTGAAACAGTGATGCAATTTTAGGCAAAACAGGAATAAGGCACTTTATCCAACGCACACTTGTCTTTCTAAAAGAGGATATTTTGCTTATCAATCCGGATAGAGAAAGATAATACGAACTCTGCAAGCGTGACGAGTTTCTAGGAGATTTTTGGGCCTCTAAATATGTTGGACACCAGGGCAGTTTTTAATGGTTTTTAATATTCAGAACCATAAGTATTTATGCTTAATTAAGCATTGAGACCCCTTTTTGTAAATAGGGGAGAGCACTGACATATACAGTATATATATATGGTAATAAAGCTATTTTGGAAAATATTTTTATAAATTGTGTTTTTGTGTTTCTTTATAATTAAAGTAAACATTGTGCAGTGATAAAGAAATAACCCCAGAAGTTTAGTTTTCAGATATTTTATTTTTCATTCTCCAGTGTGGACATTTTACAGAAATGATGGCACAGACATTTAGTAATATCCATGGCTCAGAGCAGCCACCAAGACATTGATGAATTTCTCCCAGGCAGACTGGACTTTAGGGCTAAATTCAGATCCCAACTTAGAGGCCAAAACGATGAGCAGAACCTCACCAAAACGCTGTGAACAGAAAGGACAATTATTAATTATGACATATAAGATGTAATATAATTTACAGGGTAAAGAGACAGGTATTACATAAAGAAAAACATCAAGAACATTTGTGTGCCATTTCCTTTCTGTTTGGGTTTTTTCTTATAAAATATATAGTCCAGGTATAGTTATTATGTAGGGCTGAATTCAGATCCCAGCTTAGAGGCCAAAACAATGATCAAAACCTCACCAAGATGCTATGAACAGAAAGGACAATGAATAATTAGAACATATAATATTTAATATTGTTTACAGAGTAAAGTGACAGGTATTACATACAAAAAGAAACTTCAAGAACATTTGTGTCTTATTTGTGTATTTTTTTCTTATAAAATATATAGTCCAGGTATAGTTATTATGTACTTCTAGATTTTCCTCTAGTAACTGGAAAACCTTTGCTCATGCTTTCCTGTGCAGCAGAAGGTGTCTCCACACTTGTAACATGAAAATTCAACCACAACCCTATCACTGACTCACATGGGCCATTAAGCAGCTCTGAAGGTCTTACAATACTGGGAGTTCCTCAGCAAAGACTGATCCCATGTGCTTCCAGAGCAGCTCCAAGCACTGTAGTAGCTTTAGAAGCGATCAACATTTCACTTTATATAACTGATTAGGAATAGTACAAGTGGAGAGACCCCCGCCAGTGAATAACAGAGTTCATGTACACAAATATTTATAAAGAGGGCTTAATAAATAGTGCAAATAACTCTGCAGTAACTCATAGTAACCATTTGTGAAACATCCTTGAATAATCAGACAACTCTAACTTAAAGTGTATCTATACCCACAACTTTTCTTTTAGTTTTGGATAGAGTAGGGAAGAATTAGAACTCCTGTCAAGTTTTTCTGCTGTCAGAGGCTGGAGAGTTTTCTTCACTTCCTGCCTTGTAAAAAGGTTGCCCCCAGGACAGGAAGTGAGACTCTCTACACAGCCACACTACACACTACACATTTTAGGTTATCTTGTTTTCTGTTTAATAGCCAATGCCTTCCCCAATTTAGAAATACCAACTAAATTGTAGAAAATGTATATTCCGTTTTACTATAGATCTGTACCTTGAAATTCTCAGGATCCACATGGAGCTCTTCAGCATGTTGCTTGCTGAGGCCAGCCAGGACGCGTTTCACATCATCTAGATGGTGTACGGCTTTGTCCATAGCACCAAGCACTTTTTTGCCATGAGCGTGGACCTTGGCGTTACCAGCAATAGCAGACGCATTGTAAGTCTTTGTGTCTGGTCATAAGGACAAACTGTCCTTTTATAGAAGCCTTTCCATGGTCCACCCATGGTAGATTTCTCCTGAGTCATGCTTAACATGCCCACTGCAACCTGATTACATTTTAAGATTACTGTCCACTGCAGAGTAAGTAAAAAGTATTGTATTTTCTTCATTTTGGTACCAAATTCATTTAAAATATATCTTATTTCAAATAACCCGAGCAAGCACTAAAATACTCCCCATCATAATTTCCTGAAACATTTTATGTCTTTTACATTTTTCAAATATTATCAGATTATCATGATGAAATGAAATAAAACTATAACTTGAAATACCCAGTCATGTGCTAGGGACTTGAAAAAAGCAGGATATTTTCTTGTACATTGTTAGTGAATTGTGGTGAGCACAGCTTCACCTTACTTACTAAGCTAAGCATACATTTAGTTTGAAAAGTGAACAATCTCTACTCCTTTAGTAAATCAGCTGCAAACTATTTTTAATTCTTAATATGCAAATTAAGAAGTAAAAAGTGTTTCAAAAAGTTCTCCTTTTCAAGAAATTTCTGTTCTAATTCCTGATCACAGTCTAAATCCTGCACATCCCCATACAGTTCCCTATCTCTGGTGCCAGGAGGAAAATATACTAGAGAGAATGTAGTATACAGCACACCTTAGTTCCCAGGACCCAATTCCCTCACTTCCACTCCCCAACCTAAATCATAAGTCATACAGACCTGTATGTCACTTGGTCTTTTTCCACAAAGTGAAAAATGGTAATGCGTATAGGTCCATTTACAGCATAGACCAAAGGTCAGAAACCTTTTACACACAAAGGGCCATTTTTGCAACCATCAGCCAACCGGGTGCCAATGAACAATAACATGCCATGGTGTTAGTTACATTTCAATTTTTACACTCATAGGGGTCTATTCACTAAGCTGCCGAGGGCAGCCGAGTGACCAACCGACCCCAAGTGAAGTGAGCCGAACACCCTCAGAGTGACCGAGCAGAACACAAAAAGAGTTAAAAAAGGTAATGAGAGAAACACTGCTGTGTCTTTCTTTTTCTTTATTCTGACACGGAGCGATGTCAGAATAGAAAAAAATAAATTCCCATTGAAATACATTGCTACATTACTATTGGCTATTTCAATTTGCAATAGCCAATAGTAAACTAGCATTGTACTCGCCCTCTGCTGATGGACCTGATGGAGAACTGCAGCAGAGGGCGGGTACAATGCTAGTTTACTATTGGCTACTGCAAATTGAAATAGCCAATAGGAATCTAGCAATGCATACTTGCAGTGCTAGTAGTAAGTTAAACCCGCAAATTAGTTTAATGTGTTTACCTTGCAATTAGCAGCACAACTATAAGTGAAAAAACTTGTGGACACCCACAAAACATGCTCATATTTACATGCACTGAAACGTAAACTGGACTTGCAGTTTTAGTGTAATCCCCGTCCCTTTATTTCACGGCTCCGTTGTGCTATGTCTGCAGAATGTTACTTTCAGCTGACCTCAGACCAGCACCAATGCATCTCAGACCAGCACCAGTGCATAGCACACCTAATACCAGCACAAATGCACACTTTGCATTTCAGACCTCAGGCCAGCACCAGAACCAATGCAGGGCAAACCTCAGACCGGTGTTATTTCGAATTTGCCAACTGTGTTACGTTTGCCGACCTACGTTACGGTTCACACTGAGTGAACCAATGGGTCACACTAGGGAGACTGAGTGACCCAGTGGGTCACACAAGGGGGTGTGGCGAAGTCAGGAGCCTAGAATATACAGTATATAGGCTTTCTTTTTTTATTCTGTGCTTTTCATACAGTGCAAAACAAATGGCAAATGCACTAACCACTCATAACCAGCTTTAAAGCAAGGTGCACATGAAAGGGCTCTAAACAGTAAAACAGCAAAACGTTTCCCAGCACACTCACCAGCCAGCATGCGGGAAAAAACCACTGAGGTTAAAAACAGAGGTTTTTAGATACACGTCTTCTGCAGAATATGTGAAAGCCGCACTGCCTCGTCAAGGCCCCTCTGTGTAGTGCGGTCCTAACTCTAACCTATGAGAGTCTCCATCTTGGCGCATATGTAGCAAAAGATAAAATTGGGTGCACCAATTTTATAGGCTAGAGTTAGACTCTCATCCCTGCGCCTTACCAGGCCACTTGCTCTCGACATTGGGAGGGTGTACCTATGCTGATGGGGACAAGGGCCTCTTCCCCACAACCCTGACCCAGTGGTTGTGGGAGTCTACGGGGTACCCCTTTAATTAAGGGGGCAGATGCCCCCCCTTGTGAATGAGTAAGGGGTACTGGTACCCCTACTCATTCACTAAAGGGTTAAAATTCTAAGTAAACAAAGAAACCACAATTTTATTTTAAAAAATCCTTTAACTGAAAAAGAACCAAATAGTAATTACATTGGGAGGGTGTACCTATGCTGATGGGGACAAGGGCCTCTTCCCCACAACCCTGACCCAGTGGTTGTGGGAGTCTACGGGGTACCCCTTTAATTAAGGGGGCAGATGCCCCACCTTGTGAATGAGTAAGGGGGACTGGTACCCCTACTCATTCACTAAAGGGTTAAAATTCTAAGTAAACAAAGAAACCACAATTTTATTTTAAAAAATCCTTTAACTGAAAAAGAACCAAATAGTAATTTATTCCTTTAATTAAAAAAAAAATTTTAAATGGCTCCTTCGATTTAATCCAGCGTCAATCACGTTGCACGACACCCGCCAAAATAAAATAAGTCCCGCCGAACGACGATCTCAAAACAGCAGTTGGGAAAAGCAACCCTTCCAATCTGAGAGACCTGGAGCAGTTGGAGAAATTGGTGGATTCCGAGGCCAGGAGCTGAGCTTTCACTTTTTATCTGTGTTTTACATGTCTTGCAGTAACAGTTCAGCAGGTTTTTAATACATTTCTCCCTCCCTCCTCCCCTCAGCTTAACACTTTCTTTCCTTCGATTGCCCACTGCATCTCTTGCTGGTTGAATGAAGTCCAGTTTCATCATAAATCAATATGGCCATGCTAATCAAATAGTGGTGTGCCATGTATGTCCTGCTTTTATCCTCACTCAGACCGGCGCTGTGACGTCTCACCAAGTTGCTGCTCTTTAGTAATCTTTATTACAAAGGATTAAAAACAAAGAGGAAAAGGGATTGTAGAGAAAAAGAAACTTAAAACATTTTCAAGCACAGAAAAAGTGCATAATGTTGCAGAATCAAAAGGGCACTTTATTTAACAAACCCATTTATTCCCTCATTTACACAGTTGCTAGATATAGTTATTGTCAGCGGAGCCAAAGCTTTGAGCCTTATTTTTTTGGAAACTGTAACAGTTACTGGTGTTTATTACTTTCCATATCTGAGTTGGGTCTACTTTGCAAAAGCTCTCCTTTGGCAGGCCTTTAAATAACTTATAATTAACAATGTATAATTCACTTCAATATTTTAAATCTACACCTTTTAATAAAACAAAACCTGATAAAGCTGCCATGAAAGTCTTTGTTCAGGTAATTCTAGTTATGGGATGACAAAACTCTGTCTCTGTCTCCATGCATGGGAGGAGGTAGAGGAGGCTGGGGCCCCAACAGCTCCCCGCTGTTCTGAACTCAGACATCACGTCACTTCCAGCCGGTCCAGCGGCAGAGGAGGCCAGGCCGCAGGAGCAGGTAAGAGGAGCTGGGAATGAGATGCAGCCCCGAACAGCCCACCTGAGAGCCCTGCAGAGCCAATCATAGAGAATCTCAGATGGGCTTTGCAGCATCTATGGTGTGCTCTGGAGGGTCACTCTCAGGTGGGCTGGGAGAAGTCTCAGATATGTGTGGGGTCTCAGGTGTGTCCTCAGAACAGTGCGTTACTAAGTTCTGTGTTCAGCGCGTTACTAAGTCCAGAGTCCAGCGCGTTACTAAGCCCAGAGTCCAGCGCGTTACTAAGCCCAGAGTACAGCGCGTTACTAAGCCCTGAGTCCAGCGCGTTACTAAGCGCTACTAAGCTATATAAGTGTATAATAATAGTGTGTGACTGTTGGGGGACATTAGAGTGTTCAGTGAAAAGGGAGAGCGCTTAGTGTTTAGTGAAAAGGGAGG